ATTCTTTGGACTCATTTATGATACTTCAAACCCATTTTGTCACCCCAAGGGAAAGTCACTCCATACAAGAGTTGGAGGAAATAGGGGAAGACACTGTGGCTCTTCAGGGGATCAACTTTCAACCAAACAATAGACAGGCGTATAAAGTGAATAGTGAGACCAGGGAGGAATGTACTTCTCAGAACAATCAGCCATACGAAACCAAAAGGGCAATATTGGCTAAAAAGGAAACTCAGGGGACAGACGGGGTAGGAAATAAGGATGAAAAGAAATGAGGAAACCAGGGAAGAAGTGGGAAGAGTGCTGTTACATTGAGGGAATTGCAACCAATGTCAGGAAACAAAATGTGTATAAACTGTTGAATGGAAAACTAATTTGCAATGTAAACTTTCATCCAACTGACAGTAAAAAGTAAAAAAGAAGCAACTTGTTACTCCCTTCTGTGTCAGACCTATATCTACACTATACACATATATGTATGTATATGAAAACATACAGTGGTTCGCTATTTACAAAAAGATGAATGCATTCTTGGAATCCACCTGACGTGTCCATGTTTCAAGTGGGGGTGGACATATTTAGGCCTGTGCATTCACCGCATATCTTACCAGCTGCTATTTAGATGTCCTTCTGAATAGTCTGAAGTAGACAGAATAAAGTGAGAACATATAGGCTCCCTGCAAAATCTGTTCTAGCAGAGCATGAGACAGCTATTAGGAAGAGGTAGCAGGCTGGAGAGGTGGCACCTCCAATTTGCTGCTGAAAATTCCACAAGTGTAGATAAGGTGTTAGGTCTGGGGCTGGGCAGACATGAGAGTAGGGGAGCCCAGGTGAGTCTCTCTACATTACTGGGCTGTTTATTTCCCCAGCAACACTGAAAAGCTGCGCCAGCTTCAGGCCTAGGATGAGATGGCCAAGGATAGCTCTAGTCCGTTCTCATTATGAATAGGGTTATACTTGCAGGAACCAATGGGCCAATTCCTCTGCACTCACCATCCCCATCTTCACCTCCCCACACCCATGGTCATCCACATGGATCAGGTTGGAATGAACAGCAAGGGAAGTTCTGGAAGGAGAAAGGTCAGAAATGGTATTATGCACTATGTGTGGGTGTGGGTGTGGGTGTGGCTATGAGTGGACAGTGTATGAGGTGGGTCCTTCCTACCCTCTTGGCTCTGGTGAAATTACTCATGTATGAGGTAAAATTCTTTTCATTATCCCTAGTGGCAGGTGGTGACTGTCTTCACCTCTCAGCAGGCTGCCTTATGGCCTCCATAGTAAGAGGATAGGACTCCAAAATCTGGGGTCTGGGATAAATGCCATGATTACTAGGCCACTTGGCCAGCTCAGTTCAGAGTTTTCCTTAGGGCTACATTGTTAGACTGGTCTTTGGGCCTGAGTCCTAGGAAAATGTGGGCTCCAGCTCCCTCTAGAAAAGGTGAGGCACCTCCAATTCACTGGTTGATGAAGCCTGGTTTGTCAAAGCCTCCCAGGTGTTTTCTCCACCCAAACACTATCTGCACCTCAACCACCTAATGGCTGTGGTGGCATAGAGTCAGTCAGTGTTCTTTTTCTGGTCATTGGTTATAACATTCCTGCAAGTGGCAGAAAGCGATGTGTGAGTACAAGGCTTCTCCCCTCAGGAACAGGGTTCTAGTTTGGGGGAGAGAGGTGGATAGTCACTGGCCTCTTTCAGAATCTAATGGAAACTATGGACTCTCTCAAAAACACCCATGGACAAAGCCCACACTCTTCAGTCTTCAAAACGCTCATGTACCTCTCCGTGCGACCCTCAGATGATGCTTTCCAACATGTATTCCCTGGTCCACCTGCATTAGAGTCATCTGTTTGGGGTGGTGGTCATTAGAATGAAGATTCCAGGGCCCCCACCAGACCTACTAATCAGACTCTAGGTTAAAGGACCTTGGAATCTGCTGAGACTTCTTTTTGGGCATAACCTCTGATGTGGGAGAATTGCCTGGGGCAGGGCTCTTATAACAAGTGACTTAGATGCTTCTGCTGCAGGCACAAAGTTCTCACATTCAGAGAGGGCCAAGGAGCAGGTGCTATGGTGTCATTGTGGTACTGGAAAGAGTGTGGGCTTAGGAGCCAGGAGTCCTGTGCTCTTGTAGGAGTCCTGTGCTCTTGTAGGAGTCCTGCTGTGAGCCATGTTAAAGAGTCAGCTCCTTAGACCTCGGGCTCCTCTTCAGCTCAGTGAGGAGGCTGAAGGACCTGGAGGCTCAGCTTTCTCATCTAGTCCATTCTAGGTTTCTTTACTGGCATTGCAGTGAGGCCTCCTGAGCAAAACAGGCCAAGGATCGTGGGCCTCTTAGTCATGTATCGGTTTTTGGTTGCCAGATGGTTCTACCCTATTTAATTTTTTATTTCCTTCATTAATGTGGCTTGATTTCTAACTTGTGATTTATTTTAAGCGTATTTTCCAGACTTGTATTTTATTATTTTTCATTATAAAAGTGACATGTGCTCATTGCAAAAAAGAAAGAAAGAGAGCAAACATTACAGACGTATCTCTTCCTGCACGACCAACTCCAAACAAAAAATAAAATAAAAAGCGTCTTCAGCTGCAGCAGAAGCATAGCTAACAGATAATTGAGTGCTTATTACATAGTAGGAGCTTGATGTGCTAAACCCTGAATGCATTTAAACCTCACAACAGTTCTGTGAGGTACTAGGGTTCAGGAAATCTTATATCTGTATATCCATACACACAAACACTAATAATTTCTTTTAGAAAAAAAAAAAAGGCTATTTTTCCTACTCTACTGCCATTTGCTTCTTTCACTTTTAAATGATTGTGAACATCTTTTTCTAACTGTACATGCAGAACATTTTTCTATCTGCAGAGTGTTCAATGATACGGAGTCATCATAACTGACTTAAGCATTTTCCGGATAACAGAAAATGAATTGCATTTGAATGTCTCTTCTAAGTCTGGAAGTCTTTTCAAACCTAAATCCAAACACAAATTGAGCATCCAGACATCTGTTTATCAGAGCTGGTTTTAGATTCTTGGTTCTACCGCTAAATAGCTATGAAGGCATCATCACGCATCTTTCAAGGTCTTAATGTCTTCCTGTGCAAAATGAACACATGTTAAAATATGATTTCTGAAGCCCACTTTTGCTCTAACATTCTCTGTTGTAATTAGTGAGTTAGCCTTCTACCTTGTTTTTCCTGTGTATGAGAGAAAAAGTTGATTCTCTTAGTCTTCCAGGACCAATTAGTTAATGCATTTAAAGACCTTTCAAACTTAGAAGTGCTAAGTACGTTCTCTTATTACTTGAGGAGCAAGCAGATCTTTGCTGGATATAACCTCAAACTGCTTTGACTTCTAGAATAGTTACTTGGTCCTTAAGAAAAACAAGCTAAATATTGAATCCAAGAGATTACTCTGTCTGAGCATTATGGCCATGGGGATGATGGGACAGGGCAATATGGTATCATATCTCTCTTTGGAAGCTGTCTTCCTGGAATGAGTATTTCCAAGTGTAATTTCCATAGCAGAAGAGAGATTATGAGGACCATGACCTCAGCAGAACACGCTGTGCTTTTTAGAGGAAGGACTTATCCAGTCTATACTTGTGGTATTTGGGACAAAGACTGAGATAATAAGGTCTTACATAGTCATTATCATACTTGACCCTTTCATCCCCCCTGATACAATAGCCAGAGAGTGGGTGGTTAACCCATTGTTAGGATGGAGATGCAGAAATTCAGAGGGGTGTGCCCCTATCACATGGCAGTAAGAGACAGAGCCTGGTACAGAATTGAGGTCCCCATCCCCACTCCACTGTGGTGGGTCCTTGGTAAGCTACTGTCCAGTTTCTTTCTGCTGGCTTTTTCTGATGGCTGGAGTCTTCTTTGGTGCCCTTTCCAGTCCAGGCTTAACCAGATGAAAAGGTGCAACTACCTGGTATTTTAATGGGCATGCACAGGTGATAGCGTGGAATTTCTTCGAATTTGGGATCCTGCCGATGGTGAGTTTTATTTTCTAAAACAGAAGAAATAAGAAAATCAAATGACTAAAGATTATCCTTTGGAGTGTTTGTTCTTAGTCTCTCCCTCACACTCTCAGAAGCTGTCTTTGAAGACCAACCTTTGCTGAACTACAATATATGAGAAGAGGAAACCCATGGTGACTTTTGTAGATGACGGGCTATATTGTAACTAGCATTGAACATGACTCTTTCACCCACTAATCTGTGAGCTCCTTGAACTTAAGCTGAGGCCACTTTGTAACTCTAGAGCTTACCACTGTATACAGCATAGAGTAAATATTCAATAAATGGTAAATGAATGATGCCTGGATTTAGTCCTTGCTCTCTCACCACTAGTTATATATCTTAACTCACTCATCCTTGCTGGGTTTCCCTATTTACATAATAGCAACAGTATAATTTTTCTAACCAACAAGGTTATTGTGTAATGTGAAAGAGATACCAAAACCCAAACCCATTGTTGTCAATTCGATTCTGACACACAGTGACCCTATTGGACAAAGTAGAACCGCCCCATAGGTTCCAAGGCTGTAATCTTTATGGAAGCAGACTGCTACACCTTTCTCCCGTGGAACGGCTGGTAGGTTGTAACTTCTGACCCTTTGGTTAGCAGTTGAGCACTTTAATCACAGTGCCACTAAGGGTCATTGCAAAATAGTAAGACATACAAAATCACAAACTTTCAGGGCTGGAAGGAAATTGAAAAATCACTTACCATAGTAATTTTCAAAAATTTTAAGCCAAGGAACCATAACTTAAATGACAAATGTGGACCACTGTAGTTGAGGTCCTAGCTCCCCTCTCTCCGCCTGCCCCAGGGGCCCAAGAAGTACAGTTTGAAAATCAACTGTCTCACTTTAGAGAGAACAAACTGAAGCTCAGGGGATGGAAGTGATTTTCCCTAGGTCACATGACTAGTTAGAAATTAAAAACAAACAGACCAGAAAGGAACTAGCAATTTAGAGACCTTACTAGGAGGCAGGCTCTTAAAAAACACCCCTATAGTACACACCTACATATTTTTCTTCTTCCCATAACTCTGTGAGGAAGGTATGGCTATTATGATTTCAGAGATGAGGAAACTGAGGCTTGAAAGGGGGACTGCCCAACATCCCTCGGCCAGTAGCAGTAGAAATAAAAATAAGTAACTATAGCAATCACCTAATGGGTGCTTGCCACTGTAGTAAGCATGTTACATACATTATCTCATTAAATACTCCAACAACTCTTTGAGGTACTGTCATAATCCTTAATCTTACAGAGAACGCTGAGTCCAAATTATTTAAGAAGCTGGGATTCAACCTGAGCCCAATGAGTTCCCCAACAAAGTCTTTTTGCCATATTACGCTGCTTTCCAAGTCTTCAACCCAGATGTTCTGTCTCCTCGCCCAGTATGCTTTCCAAATGCTGCTATATATGAAAGAATTTTGAAAGAGTCCTACAACAGCATTCTGTTATTTACACATGGTGGCTGAGAAGAGTCCCATATGTGTTCAGAGTATAGTTCAGACTCCAACCAAGACCTTGATCTTGTTCCTTCTAGCTTTGACTTGCCCTGGCCAGAGCTGGGAGGAAGGAACTTACCTCCTTTTGGATGGATCGACTGAGAAACAAGGAGACCTCCTGTAAACTCTGGGGCTTCAGGTCATTCACCGCCAAAAGGTGATCTCCATGGCAAAATAAGCATCCCAGGTGCGGGGGGCCTATCCACTGGGCCACACTGCAACGGGACACAGCACCCGCACAAAGGTGAGCCAAGGGCATCGATGGGATGTGTGGGCTCCTCTCTTTGTCTATCCCATTGTTGCTGTTCTCAGCTGCCTTAGCTACGCTGCACTCCATCTGAAGTAGATTTCTCCCTTTTTCTGTCTGGTCTATCCTTTCTTTTACTAATCCTCTTGAAGCCTGAGCCTTCCTCCATAGCTCAATTCAAATTATACCACCTTTACAAAACCCTCCTACCATCCTCTCCTCTGCCCTGACCTTCTATTGCACTGTCTGAATACCTCGTGTAAGTACTTTTAAATATTATGCATTTGATATTTCCCTGTTTATGTGGTCATCTTTGCCACTAAGCCATCAAACCCTGGAAGTGCAACCAACTAAAACCAAACCCATTGCTATTGAGTCAATTCTGACTCATAGCAACCCCAATTGCGTTTCCAAGGTTGTAAATCTTTACAGAAGTAGATTGCCTCATGTTTCTCCCATAGAGCATTTGATGGGTTTGTACCACCGACTTTCTGGTTAGCACCCAAATGCCTTACCCACTATGCCCCCAGAGCACCTTGGAAGTGCAGAGCCACCTTTTTTTTTTTTCAATCTTTATAACCCCATAGCTCCAAGTAAACTAGGGTGCTTGTTGTGGTTACCTAGTGCTGCTCCGACAAGAATATACCACAAATGGGATGCCTTAACAAACAAGAGTTTATTCTCTTACAGTTTGGAGGCTTTAAGTTCAAGTTCAAAGTGCCAGGCTCTAGGGGCTGTGTGAAAGCCCCTTGACCTTGGGCTTCAGCTCTGCCTCTTACTCCTGGCCCACTGAAGCTAGAGGTATCTCTTCACTCAGACAGCTAGCTACTGGCTGCTGAGGCTAATGAGCCCTAGGTCGACAAATAAAAAGGCACAGTCTCGATGTTAACAAACCACATGGCAGGCCATTCATTCAAGTCCATTGTAAGTCCCAAGGTTGGCAGAGCATGGCAGGCTACTAAACAACAACAGGGCTACATGCAGGGTCCAAGCATGCCATAAGCTAAAGATCATTTCCAAGGCTTCTCCTTATATACAGGAAGAAGACCACATCCCAAAGGCAGCTATTCAGCTGTTTGTGGTAGATCCCACCATGGAGTTCATTGCCAGTCTCATTGTGAGGAATAACTACCACCAGCTGCCCAGCCACTCAAACGGGCCCAGGCAAGTTGACACACAAATATAACCACCACAGTGCTCAATAAGTGTTTTTTAGAAGTGAGCACAAAATAATTATACAATGAGTAAATAAACAAATAAATGAATTATTAAACAAGCAAGTTTAGACACAGAGAAGTTCATGTTCAATTTAGTAATTATTGAGCCTTAGATTGTAAGAAGTTTGGAAAAATGGAAGATTGTGCTTCCTGTCCTCTTAGGATTTACAGGACAACTGGTAGTGTTATGGATTGAATTATGTCCCCCAAAAATATGTGCTGGAAATCATAATTTGTATGCCTGTGGTTATCATCCCATTTGGGAAGGGGTTGTTTATGTTATGTTAATGAAGCAGGATTAGCATAGGGTGTATTTTGAGTCAATCTGCTTTGAGGTATAAAGCTACCAAGCAGAGATGGGGGAAGAGAGATGACAAGTCACCAGAAGATCTCCCAGGAGCAGAAGAGCAAAGAGACAAGAAATCTTCCAGAGCCAACAGAGAGAGAAAGCCTTCCCCTAGAGTCAGCACCCTGAATTTGGATCTCTAGCCTCCTAAATTGTGAGAAAAGAACTTTTTTTTGCTAAAGCCACCCACCTGTGGTAGTTCTGTTAGAGCAGCACGAGATAACTAAGACAGGTGTGTGACATAACACATTGCTCAAACTCAGCTCACTGCCATTGAGTTGATTCTGATTCATAGTGACCGCTCCTTGGGTTTCCAAGGTGGTATCTCTATGGAAGTAGATTGCCCAATTTTCCTTCTGAGGAGTGGCTGGTGGTTTTGAACTGCCAGCCTTCTGGTTAGCAGTCTAAAGCCTTAGGCAGTACACCACTGCTACTTTATGTTAAATGGTTTATGCTCCTTTAAAAATGTCATCTTCCACCGAAATGAGTTGCCAGCTCTTTAAGAGAATGTGGAATCAAGTTGACAATGTAAGAATATTCTCTGCACACAATCTTTTGTACCTGAGCCTCTGATCAGCAGGATTTTAGATGGTTTTTGGAAGTCTTAGGCCCTATTATGCCTTTTCCTTTTAGACTTTTGGTTTTTGTTGATTCACTGGCTTTATTCATTCATCAGATACTTATGGTGCATTGATTGAGAATGATTTCCTTGGAACATACATATTTCCTGCCCACTCCTCCTTCTTTGAGAAATCAGAAATTTCCTGATTCCCAGACTTCTGGGTTCCCTTATGCCCACCCAGGAGCTCTGGTGGCACAGTGGTTAAAACATTTGGCTGCTAACCAAAAGGTTGGCAGTTCAAACCCACCAACTGCTCCATGGGAGAAAGATGATGCAGCCTGCTTCTATAAAGATTTACAGCCTTGGAAACCCTATGGGGAAGTTCTATTCTGTCCATTAGGGTAGCTATGAGTAGAAATCCATTCAGTGTCAACAGTATTCTTGTTTTCTCCAGCCTCAACGGAAGACGCTTTGTGACAACAGTTTGGGCAACAGTCAGTCCATGCTGCCAAATAGACTGTTCAAGATGTAATTCATATCTTTCAACCCCGTTTGTAATCAATGTTGTTGTTATGTGCCGTTGAGTCGGCCCCAACTCATAGCGACCCCTCCTTGGGTTTCCGAGGCAGTGTCACTACGGAAGTAGATTGCCCAACCTTCCTTCTGAGGAGTGGCTGGTGGGTTTGAACCACCAGCCTTCTGGTTAGCAGTCAAGTGCCTTAGGCACTATGCTACCAGAGCTCCTACTTGCTATTATAATCAATAGTACTTAAATTTCTGACCTACCATATTCGTCCTGCAGCTTCTATCAGAGCAAGATGATTTATCACATCAGGAGGGGAAAGGAACACATCCAGTTTCTGCACTTGGCATTCATCAGGGATGTTACTGTGACATAAGACATTTGTACCAGTCATATTAGGTAGCTAGCCCTGAAACTGAACTGTACTTTCTGAGTAGAGCTTTTTTTCCCCCCCTTAAATTGTGGTAAAATATATACAACATAGAACTTGCCATTTTAACCATTTCCAAGTACACAGTTCAGTGGCATTAGTCACATTCACAATCACCACTATTTGTTTCCAAAACTTTTTCATCCCCTAAACAGAAACTCTGAACCCATTAGGCAATAGCTACCCAGGCCTCCATCTCCTGGTAACCACTAATCCACTCTATGTATTTGTCTACTCTAGATATTTCCTATAAATGGGATCATATAATATTTGTCCTTTCATGTCTGGCTTATTTCAGTTAATGTAATGTTTTCAAAGTTGTCACCGCATGTATTAAAATTTCATTCTTTTTTATAGTTAAATAATATTCTATTGTACATTTGTACCACATTTTGTTTATCTGTTCATCTGTTGATGGACACTTGGTTTGTTTCCACCTTTTGGCTCTCAGGAATAGTATGCAACTAACATTGGTGTACAAGTCTCTGAATCCCTGCTTCAATTCTTTTGGGTATTTATCCAGAAGTTGAATTTCTGGATTCTGAGTAAATTTTTGGCCTCTTACATCTGATATTATATTTTCCAGTTATAATATTTAGAGAAAAATATGAATGTAATTTGCTGAAAAAGTCCTCATTAGTGTTCTTCGTAGGATGTAGTAGATGTAGTAGAATGGGTGGTAAGCAATGAGAAGGAACCACAAAGGACTAAATTGACTACATCACTTCAGGTCACTTTGTATATTCTCTTCTGGAAATGACTTTATAGAAGAAGATACTGAGAAGAGTTAAAATTGAGAACAATCTCATCAAACTGTCTTGTTACCACTTAACACCTACACATTTCTCTCTGGTCTATAACCAGATTTCATGCAATTTCCGTGCCTATAATTATGCAGGAAAATCTGAGTGACAAGCTACTCAGAGCAGTTTGGATCCAAAGTTCTAGAACCTGAAAGACTAATTAAAGAATTTTTTTTTTTTTTTGCCCAGATAGTTGAAAATACCACCTACATCCCAGGGGAGCACTTTGTTACCAGCTCTTTTGATCACTGTCCTTGGCCACAACCTCAGTTAAAGCAAAAAGTTGTTCATATTCCTGGCCAACTTGGAGATTTTTAGGAATGGCTTTAATTTGAATACTGAATAAGAAAGAAAACATGCCTTGGTCTCAGGGCCCATAAAGTTTTAGAAATTAGAGCTTTACTTGATCAGTATAGACAACTGCACAACAGTTAGTGAGGTCGATCCTTTTTTGTCATTCATGGTGTGTACTTCTGAATTGTCTGGCGAAAGATGTAAATCATTTTCTGAGTCTTTTTCTTGTGGGTGAAGCCCCTCATCTTGGGTTTCTAAAAGGGCCTGGGATTCCTCTTTGCTCTCAGCAGACCGATGGGATGTCTCTTTGAAAACACTAGCATATAAAACATTAAAACAAACCTTTTTTAGTATCTTCACTGACAAATTTCCCCTGTGCATGAATCAGAATTAAGTAGCTAACAGCCATGTGAAAGTTAGCAATGTCTTGAAGTATGTCCAACCATTAAAATCAAGGCCATAGCTAGAATCAAATCCAATAAACTTTTCTTCCAAAAATGGATATGGAATCAAAATAACCCTTTACATGGGGTGGGTTTGGATGACTGAAGTGAGAGTGTGAGAGACTTAAATGTGAAATAGAAATAGCTTTTCAGGAGTCAGAAAATGTCCTGAAGACATTACTAATGCTTTTCTCTGGATTGCTACTTTTCCTTGTTTTGAGATTACTAAATGATGTGTTAAACTTGATGTGTAGTAGTGTTTTGCATTAGTATATCCACTATTTGAATGAACTGGAAGTAGTTGTTCTATCATAAGTAGATTAGCTAATTATATATGTATTTGTCTTTTACTTACCAGGATTTCATTGACATGTAAGGACACTCAGTTCTCTTGAAGACCTTATCTGGACTACCACGTTCAATGGATTCACCAGAGTCACTGGAATCAATATTCTTTTCCAACTATGACAAGAAGAACAGATTTAAAGATGAAGTCTACCAATAAGGCAGATACCCTTTTACTCCATTCACTACCCCTTTCCTTATGTCTCTCAAGAACATCCTCCAGTGGCTAAAGAGTGGTGCTCATTCTGGGACTATCAACCAACCTTACCTATTAGAACCTGCAAAGTTTTTAGCAAACCCAAAGGCTACTTTCTTCACCTGGGTCCCCAGGCTCCTGATTCAAGTTTCTGTTGAACTATATTGCTCTTTGCCTGTCTGCTTCATCCCTAGGCACGAACTCTTTCCCCCACTCAGTTCTGCTGCAGTGGGTCACAGCCTGGGTGGGTCACAGATCCAGACACAGTGCACATCTGGCTTAGGCTGTTGTGCTCACAGTCCTGCCTGAGTTGCTTCAGGGGGCTGTGAGGGTCCTGGAAAATACTGCCCTTGCAAGCCCTCAACTAGCCCCTTAGGTCTAAGACAGTCATTTGGGACAAGGGTTGATCAAAAACTTTCCAGACCTTTCTCTTGACTAGCATCATTGACACTCATCATTAACCTTCAATTAGAACACTTCATTCCAGCCAAGCTAATCTCACTACTCCCCTTAAAAAACTGCTTTTCTAGTGCCCATGTTAATGCCATCTCCTTTACCTGGGATGCCTCATTTCTCTCCTGTCTGTTGAAATTGTGTCGAGGCCTGGCTGAAGTCCTTCAGCCTCTTCTGTCCACTTCAGCTGCAGCTCCTGTAGCCCTTCTCTGCACTTCTACTGCACATTTTGTCCTTATGTATTTATTTACTTTTATCTTAGTATTACCCACCTTACTAGCATCCCATAAAGTACTTAGCAAATGCCACTCACATAATTGATACTTGATACACACCAGATTGGTTGAACTACCACAAAGGACTAGTTGCCACCAAAGTGTCCCAGGGAACATCTCAAACCAAAAAAACAAACTCACTGCCATCGAGTCAGTTCCGACTCACTAGTGTGAGAAGTATTTTCTGAGAAAGTAGGGTCCTGTGGTCAAAGGAGGTTGGGATATGCTGTGTGTCGCATCCTGTTTAGCTATTTATAATTCACCATTCCATACTAAAGGCTCTGAGAATCCTGCAGTTAAGTTAACTTAGTTTAACTTGGTGTTTCTAGAACTTATTTGACCCCAAGGCACTTTGTTTGTGTGAATGCATGTGACTATCTTGTAAAAAATCCTCAGTTTAGGATTCTACAGGGACTCCCCTCCCTCATTTTGGTCTAGCCCCTCCCATTTTCATTCTCTTCTCTCTGCTGTTGTTGTTTGTTGTTATGTGCTGTTGAGTCGGACCCGACTCATAGCAACCCCTCCTTGGGTTTCCAAAGTGGTATCACTATGAAAGTAGATTGCCCAACCTTCCTTCCAAGGAGTGGCTGGTGGATTTGAACCACTAGCCTTCTGGTTAGCAGTCAAGTGCCTGAGGCACTATGCTATCAGAGTCCCCTTCTCTCTGCAGTCCATCTCAAATACAGCTGTTGGGAGGATATTACCCATTGCCATCAAGTGGATTCTGACTCATACCAACACTTTTCAGACAGAGTAGAACTGCATCATACAGTTTTCTAGACTTTAAATCTTAATGGAAGCAGACCGCCACATCTTTCTCCCATGAGCAGCTGATAGGTCTGAACCACTGACTTTGGTTACTAGCTGAGCACTTTAATCACTATTCAGCCAGGGGTCTTTGGGCTAATACTTGAAGATAGTTCATTGCCTCTGTGTTGCTTACAAAACGCATTCAGTTTGGTATGTAAGACTCCTCATGGGCCTGGCTCTTGTTCTGTTTTATTTTCCACTGTAGCCATTCAGTCACTCTAGGTCCCAGTCCAAGTGAACCATGCACCCACACATTTCAAATGCTATTTCTTTTCTGAAGCCTTCCCTGATCCCTTTGGAGAGAGAAAATCTGTCATTTTCCTATTGCTCCAGAGCACTTTGACCATGCCTCCTGGATAGCATAATCGTGTGGTAATTGATAAGAGTATGAGTCGGGGCCGACTCGACGGCACATAACAACAACAACAACATGGGCTCTGAAGGCAGGAGCAATGCCACATTCATTACTGTAGACACCACACCTAGTACAATACAGTTCCTGACACACAGAAAACATTTAGGAAGGCTTCCAGTTAATAGACTGATTGATAGGTACTACATAATTTATCACCCAAGAACTTTTGTCCATATTATTCTTCCTGTCCAGAATGTCTTCCATCAACTTTCAAGTCCAAATTCTATACATTTTTCAAATAAAGTCAAATGTCATCTCCTTCCTGGGTCTTCTTGGCTAGAAGTCAATCCTTCCTTCCCCACCCCTCAAGCATTCCCATGGAATTGTGTGAGCATTTCTCTTCAGCGTGGAGCCCTTTTCTGTCTTGTGTTATGGTTGTTTCGTATTGAAATGTTGGCACTGTGAGCACAGCATCTGTGTCCAACTCACCTCTGAGTTCCCACTGAACCCAGCCTAGTATTTTAGGGATAGTACGTGGCAGGTGCTCAAGACATACTTGTTGAAAGACTGGATGATTCAGAGATGGAGTTACCTCTAAAATAACACTCCGGGGATTAATATAATAACCCTCTTCTTCTTTATCTTGAGTAGTCTTTGAAGAGAAATCTTGTGAAAGATGAGCTTGCCTGAATCCTGGAGAATATTTTTCTGTGAAATGCTGAATAAAAGAGATGAAGACAGAATTAATGCTTTTCTTTTTCTTTGCAAGAGACAGAATTAAGCCACATGCTTTTTGTAAAAGCTGTGACAGATTAGTTGGGGTGAGAAGATCAGAGGATCTCCCAAGGTTCCATCCAGACACCCACACAACTTGAATTTGCCTTCTGTCCTGGGCCACCACTGATGCCAGGAAGATTTAAGCACATGGTTCTCTACCATTAGGAGCTACAACTCAGAACAAGTGGTTTCCTCTCATGGGTAGCATTCTAAGTCACTCAGTTCTGCCTTAGAGTCCCCACCCCAGGCCCCATCTTGTTGCAGTTATCATCCAGTGCCATCTGAGAAAGTAATGAGCTTAGAGTCAAGACAGTCACCTTTCCTTTTCCTGCTCAACATTCCTCTTTTGTGTTCTGCTCACACACTTCTATTGTTTCCATAGCAATGTAATCTGGTCGTGCTAGTCACATGGTAGCATGAATTATAGGCTTCAAGGTGACCTAGGTTCAACCAATTACTGCCTTCTCCCTCCCAAAAGATATATGATACTGTACTAATGTAGCTGCTTTGCATGGCAGGAAAATTGTTGTAAGTACAATATAATTCTTTCAGGAACAATGTCTTTGAGCAGGTTTTGTTTGTTTGTTTGTTTGTTTGAATAAAAGACCCTGAATGTTCTCTAGGAAGTCCTTGAAAGAAAGTTATTATATTTAAAAACAAAAACAAACAAGGATATATTTACACTGCATCCATTTTTCTAGCTCCAAGCTCATGAAGCCAGGCCGTGCTGAGTTGGCGGTGAAGGGTCACCACTTAATTTCAATAACAACAACAAACAAACAGCAAAAGCCCAGCAAGACAAATTAAACTCTTAACTCAAGCTGGTTGGAAAAAAAAAAAAAAAAAAAAAAATCACTGGATCTGAATAGAGAATGTGAAAATGTAAGAGCAGTTGTGTTATCTCCGGGAAGGGGCAGCAGGAGCCAAAACCAAGAGGCATTAGCTGAGAGGGGTCAGTCTCCCCAACCCAATTTCATACCGCCTTTGGTACTCATTAAAGGAATAACTGAGATGAGGTGTTCGGCCTGGTGAATTTGACAGGCTACAGAAAGCGTTAAAAATAGTTGGAGAGCCGCCAACTAGATAAAATAGGAGGCTACGCCACAATAAGATGTGCTTGGCACCCAAGGATAAGGGGATGTCAATGGTTGCGTGTCTATGGGATGAAACAGCATCTCTGCAGGAACAAAAACAAACCAACCTCAGCCCATTAATTAATAAAATCCAGACTTAGAGAGAGAACAAATCCCAGAAAGTTGAGGGTATCATACAAAGGACTCCTGAAGGTCAAGTGTATTGAATTGACTCCCCCCAATCGATTTCACTTCTCCATGTGTTTAAGGAGGAGCAGACTGATCCGAGTGAATGAAGGAAATTAACAAGAAGTTCTGCCTTTGCCTAAAGAGTACAGATGGTGAGACAGGAAATCAACTGGTGTGTTGAGAATCTTTTTCAGAGAAGTAATCTGTGCCCTGTGTGTGAAGGAAGGAAAAGATTGCCAGCCAGGCTTTTGTTTAGCCAAAGGGCTCTCACCCAATATAGCCAGATGCATGTCAAGGAGCATCCAAAGTGAAAGGATCCATTTAGAAATAGGTAGGGACAAGTGGTAAAGCTTGCCTGTGATATGGGAAACAAGCTCAAATGGGTTCATATAGTAGCTTAGGCTTTGAGGAAGGTGGGCAGGGTGTCAAATTCAACTCTAATTTCGAACAATAGCTGACTTCCTTCAATGGAACTTGAGAGACAGCAAGGTGACCCCAATTACCATGTTTGGAAGACTGGTTCTTGATGAGGTGAAGCTGGCAGCCTCCAGGGTACTGGACGGATCGAGGACAGGGCTGGGGTCTGAAGCATGCCGCTTATCACCCAAGGAGAGACTCTCCTGGTTAGGAAACAGGAACCGTGCAGTCAGGACCCAGCTGATCTCTCATCTGGAATGAGACAGCATCCTTCCCTCTGGGCTCCCTGCCCCCAGTCTCTCACCAGCACTATCTCACTAAGACAACAGCTGATCTTGTCTCTCTCCTGTTCCCAAACCCTTGAGGACTCAGCCTGGCCTGCAGAGACCCCAGATTTTGCCCTCACCCTGCCTTTTTAACCATTTTCCTTCTGCACTCCATCTCCTGTTCTTCAGCCATTTGATTCTACTTGTAAACGTGCCTTGCCTTGTCCTTCTGCTTAACTTTTATGTCTATTGTAAGCATGAAACAACCTAGATAACATATCAAAAAACATAGGCAGAGACCAAAGTTCCATTTACAAAAATCTACCCTAAGATAGGATTTGTGTAAATTAGCAAAGGCCCTTTTGAAATAAATAAAAAACTTAAACCTATTACTATTTACATGGGCGCTCTGGAGCCTAAGGCATTTGACTACTAATCAGAAGGCTGATGGTTCAAACCCACCAGCCGTTCCTCTGAAGGAAGGCTGGGCAATCTACTTCTGTAGTGATAACACCTCAGAAACCCAAGGTGGGGGGTTGCTATGAGTCCGATCTGAGTTGAAGGCAGTGAGTTTTACTATTTACATTAAAGAGACATTATATTCAAAATATAAGATAGAAAGTACCTTAGACTTATAAGTCTTAGTTATACATTAAATAATAATGACGGAATAGTTTCAGCTACTGTTAAAAATTGCTACAATAAAAATTTTCATTCCCCCATCACATAAAAATCTCAACTGTCTGTATTTTAGCTTCCTCTTGAAACACAAAAGTATTTTTTTGTTCCCTCTTGAAACACAAAAGTATTTTTTTCCTATTAATCTTAACAAGTACATACGTTTTCTCACTTATTTATTCCTTGTATTAATGCCAGTTGCTAAGGGAAAAAAAGCTCGCATTGTTTCCCTGTGAAAGGGGGCTGTGCTGGGGCACCCTGTTATTTCACTAGCGATATAGAGTCACCTCCGTATTCTGGTGTGCTGCCTTTATATCCTGGCAAAATGATGACATGAAGGAGACCCAGTCTTTAATCTTCTCCCTGTTAATAGGAATAAACTTTCAGCCGGCATGTGGCAACAATAGTGCTTGCACTCTCTCTGAACCAATGAAAGATTCTTTTATTCAAGTTTGAGCAAGTAGTGGGAGCAGGTAACAGAGAAACAAGCATTTTTTCCTGAGTAGCTGAAATGACCCACCACTCCTCACCACCTCCACACTTGCAGGCTAGAATTAACCCTCCTGCCACCTCTGTGAGGAAAGCACAGAGAAATGGGAAGAAAAGCAGAAAACAATAGTAGTAATCACAGGGCTTGGGGCTTTTGGCTTTGACACTGGTTTCTTTTGTGTTCTTAAGCAAAGCCCCTAACCAGTCAGCGCTATTTTTGTGTCACCATCGAGGCTACCTGACAATAATTGCATCTACGAAGAATGTGTCTGAACTGAATTCATATATATCCCATCTTTTTTTCCTTTCTCCCTGTGGACTCTTAGGACAATTTAAAGACAGCTTTTCGTGTTTTGAATGATCTGAACAGATCAAGGTGCTTCACACTTTGGCTTTAACATTCACTGCAGCCTCTGCACCTGCCCTTGCACCTCAGCTTCTCTGTCAAGCAGATAATCACCTCTAAAGAACCTGAGGCATCTCTGCTGGCAAAAGGAGCCTTTCTTAAAAACTGGAGACTCCTAGGATGAGCATTATTCCTCCCTCATGTGACTTGTATAGATATTTGTGTCTTGGGTTCTTTGGGGGTGTTGGGAAAAGTTCTTTTTATTCCTTTGAGTGGGTGGGGATCTTGGGTTCTTTTACATGGAATGAGTCTCGGGTGATGGTGATCTTTCAGGGTATTTTAACAAATGATGAGGATTGCCATGATGGCGTTTAATGTCATGGCCATGGGTTTTTGTCCAGAGCATGAGCACTATTCACTCATTTAAAGTGTCTATTTACAATGCATGCATGTAGTTTGCACCCAGAAAACACTCTGGGCTATCTTACTACTCACCTGTCATGGCCAATGAGAAAGTAATCCCTGCTAGTGGTTCTGATGGACATCACCTCCTCAGGATGACATTTAAACATCTTCTGTACAGATTTCATTTTTTCATGGCTGCTTATGCCAACTTCTACACTGGAATTTCTGTTATATATAGACATACAGTATTAAAACCCAAACAAAAAACAAACCCACTGCCATTGAGTCCATTCTGACTTATAGAGACCCCCAATTGGGTTTCCAAGATGGTAAATCTTTACCAAAGCAGGTTGCCCCACCTTCCTTCCATGAAGTGGCTGGTAGGTTAAAAAACCAAACTCACTGCTGTAGAGTCAGATCCGACTCATAGCAATGTCTTCTTGGGTTTCTGAGGCAGTATCACTACAGAAATAGATTGCCCAATCTTCCTTCTGAGGAGTGGCTGCTGGTGGGTTTGAACCACCAGCCTTCCGGTTAGCAGTCAAATGCCTTAGGCACTACGCCACCAGAGGAGGATCCAAATTGAACAAAACTTTAGAGCTATTTGACAAATATTTTGAAGATTGTTCAATACTTTCAGAAAAGGAATTGGATTCTGGTTCACTCACTGATTGGACACACTTAGTCAAACATTCCCATTTTTAGTTTCAGTCCGGGTTCCATAAATCATTGTCATCTCTGTCGATTTTGTTCTGTTTACAATTTCTTAGAGAGGAAAAAATATTAAAAAAAAAAAAAACATGCTGACTTTATGAAATAATTATTTCATCTGCTGTCTCTCATCTACACTGTTTAAATAGTTGGAAGATTGAAACTGAATTAAGTGAATCAAGTTCTTCCTAACAGAATGCTATTAATGAAAAATTTATCAACTATAATATGGAATAAGAAATAAGTATTTAGCTATCATCTTTCCAAGGTGCTCTCTTGGTGCATTGCCTAAGGCATTTGACTACTAACCAGAAGCTTGGTGGTTCGAATCCACCAGCCACTCTGAGGAAGGAAGATAGGCAATCAACTTCTGCAAGGACTTACTGTCTCAGAAACAGAAAGAGGGTCACGATGAGTGAGAATGGTCTCAATGGCAGTGAGTTTGGTTGAGTTTTATTTATTTATTTATTTATTTGGTTTTTATCATCTTTTCAAAGTGTTTGAAATTTTAGCTCCCTTTTCATAACATAGATTGCATTAAGTTTGAAGCCTTTGGCTTCCTCCACCAATGATCTAAATTTCTATTTGCATTCAACTTGTTCATATTTGATTTGATACTTTTTGCTGTTATGAAGGTGTTCTCCCTATGGATACGCACCCATCAATTTCAATGGCCCCTCGTTGATGATGGTCTTTGTAATAGGAAAGACTCAAGCCGGCTTCTCTACTCTTTGACAGGATGAAAAACCGTTTTTTCCAAGAGCCCTAAAAATGAAAAGGTTTTGTATCTCAGTTAAACTCAGGGGAAGAGAAAGGAAAAATGTTCATGAGGGTAGTGGGAGGCTCATTCAATCATAGTGCTCACCATACTCACCGTGGAAAAGAAAAGCTGAGGGGGTGGTGATTTAATAAAGTAATCCTGTTTGCAGACTTCATTTTCATCATACAACATAAATTGTGTGCCTATTAAAAGAAAGTGAATGGGACTCAGTTTGTTCTGAGTAAATTTCTGAAAAGAACTGCTTCAGCTGGAAAACACTGTTTATCTTTGCAAAGGTCTTCAGATTACTCAGTATGGGGGGGAGTGGAGAACAAAAAACCTGAAAACAATTATGCATATATAGTAGCCCGAGGCCATTATGGACTTTATGAATAGCTCTGCAACTTTGTCCAATAGAGCGCTGGAAGATGAGCCCCTTAGCACTCAAAATATGACTGGGGAAGAGCTGCCTCCTCAAAGTACAGGACGTGGATGGAGTAATGATGTGGATGGAGAAAACTTTTGGGACCTCCATCTGCTGATGTGGCAAGAGTCAACATAGGGAGAAACAGTTGCAAATATCCATTAATATTTGGAACATGGAAAGTAGGAACTATGAATCTAGGAAAACTGGAAGTTGTCAAAAATGAAATGGAACACATAAAGATCAATATCCTAAGCATTAATGAGCTGAAATGGACTGCTTTCGGCCAGTTTGAATCGGACAACCACATGCTCTACTATGCTGGGAATGACAAATTGAAGAGGAAAGGCATGGCATTCATTGTCACAAAAAATGTTTCAAGATCTATCCTGAAGTACAATGCTGCCAGTGATAGGATAATATCCATACCCCCACAAGGAAAACCAGTTTATACTACTATTATTCAAATTTATGCACCAATCACCAAAGCCAAAGATGAAGAAATTAAAGATTTTTACCAACTTCTGCAGACTGAAATTGACCAAACATGCAATCAAGATATGTTCATTATTACTGGTGATTGGAATGAAAAGTTGGAAACAAAGAAAAGCCTGGGTAGTTGGAAAATATGGCCTTGGTGATAGAAATGACACTGGAGATCACATAATAGATTTTTTTTTTTTTGAGCATTTTAAATAGTTTTGAAAGAAAAACAGGATTATTCCTATCTGAAATACAGGTAGATTTCCACAAGCACATGGAGGAAATTTGTGTTACTTACAACTCTTAGTTTCAGAAATGATATTTTCACTATCTAAATCTGAAGATCAGCATTCTATAAAGGTTACATGGGTATGCATAAATTAGATTTGTTTGGAAAAGAGAAAGAAGAGAGCAAATGAATTCTATTTGGAATCCAAAATCTGTATTTAACATAATAGAATTTTGTAAGACCAATGAGTATTCATCACAAATACCATTTTCAACAACATGAATGGTGGCCATACACGTGGACTTTACCAGATGGAATGCACAGGAATCAGATCGACTATACCTGTGCAAAGAGACTATGGAGAAGCTCAATATCTTCAGCCAAAACAAGACCAGGAGCTGACTGTGGAACAGACCATCAACTGCTCATATGAAAGTTCAAGTTGAAGCTGAAGACAATTAAAACAAATCCACAAGAGCCAAAATATGACCTTGATTATATCGCTCCTGAATTTAGAGACCACCTAAAGAATAGATTTAATGCATTGAACACCAATGACCAAAAACCAGATGAATTGTGGGATGACATCAAGAACATCATCCATGAAGAAAGCAAAAGGTCCTTAAAAAGACAGGAAAGGAAGAAAAGACCAAAATGGATGCCAGAAGAGACTCTGAAACTTCCCTTGAACAGAGAGCAGCTAAAGCAAATGGAAGAAATGACAAGATAAAAGAGCTGCACAGATTTTAAAGAGCAGCTTGAGAAGGCAAAATCAATTATTATAATGAAATGTGCAAAGACATGGAGTTAGAAAACCAAAAGGGAAGAACATTCTCAGCATTTCTCAGGCTGAAAGAACTGAGGAAAAATTCAAGCCTTGAGTTGCAATGTTGAAAGATTCTATAGGCAAAATATTGAACAATGCCAGAAACACAAAAGAAGATGGAAAGACTACACAGAGTCACTGTACCAAAAAGAAGTGGTCGATGTTCATCCATTTCAGGAGGTGGCCATACAATCAAGAACCAATGGTATTGAAGGAAGAAGTCGAAGCTGCACTGAAGGAAGTGGCAAAGAACAAGGCTCCAGGAATTTGCGCAATACCCATT